GGGAGTGTCATATATCAATCTGTTGATTTCATTGGTTAAGTTATAATAAACCAACTGCTTGGCCTCAGCTTGGAACATAGATGGGAGGAGTAAACAGAATAGAATTCTGGGCGGAAGAGGAAGTGAAGTCAGACTCTGCTCTGCTTCCGGAGAGACCCGACAGCTCTGCTGGAGCAGAGACGCCATGCTCAGCTCTCCCGGGTAGACCCAAGAGCTCTGCACTCTGGAGCAGAGACACCATGATGGACGGAGGCTAGAATCTTTCCGGTAAGCGCACCTTGGGGTGCTTACACACAGCATTAGAAATGGGCTAGACCAGGTGCGAGAATTAGCCTGTAAGGGCTAGAGTTCATGGGCCAAGCAGTTCTTTAAATGAATACAGTTTGTGTGTTGTTATTTCGGGCATGAGCTAGCCAAGCGGCCGGGGTGTTGGGGACGCAGCCCCGCTGCCGCTCTTTATTTCAACAGTCACTGAGATGGCGGATTCTCTACCCAGATTCTCCAGCACCAGGACACCCCATCATGCAAGTTTTAAATGTGAGGTCAGACTTCTCTGTAACATTTTCCACAGAACGTATCACTCTTCCCACATATGTGCTTGCGCAAAGGTATGCATGCATACATATACAGAAATACACATACACACATGCACAAACACAAACACACACACAATTTCTATACTAGTGTCAAGAAAAGTGCATGTGTTTCAGGAAAGTGGAGGGGACATTAGGGGAATCTCACTGCTTGGCCCATTATACTGATTTTCCATGTTTTGACAATAAGTCCTTCTGCACAAAGTAAAGAATTGAACATCAACAGTATAAGGAAGTATAAGGAAGAAATCTCAGATGTCAGTGGAGAGTCAAACTATTCTTAATAGTTTCTGGCAGTCTAGAGAACATTAGAATGTATCAGACAGAACATGGGTTGTAGTTCACAGAGTCATTCATTCATATAAAACCACATTTAACCAATGCTGTTTTGTGTTTGTTTGTTTTATGGATATCAAAATCATGGGTCATGATTTCTTTCACTGGGGACTTCCAGGCCTTGCTTTCTCCATCCCAAATGGCAGATGAGGCAAGGCAAGGTAGCTAACAGGAACACATACTCCCACCGTCTTGGGACTTAGCCCAAACCAGAAAGATTGATAAGACAAAAACTCACAGGTGTATGACTATCGTGATGTATTTTAAACAGAAAGCCCACTCGTTGTCCCCCGCCCCCCCCCCGCCCAGAATCACTTCCACTTTCATACCCAGGTACCATCGTTGTGTCTACTTTAAATATGCAGCTCATGGGGTTTTAAAAGTGGCGTAGCCAGGAGGAGGCCATCTTGCCGTGCATAGTTTAAGAAAAGGGAATGGTTTCTCAATGAGAATACGAGCTATGAGGGTACAGTTCTGTCTTAGGGACCTAAGAACTGCTAACTTAAACCAGCCTCCAGAGCTGTGACCAACAAAACAGAAACATGTTCTCAGTTCAGGGAGCTAATTACAAATCATATCTTCCTCAGCTTTAAAGCCACGAATGCCCTGATGCTGAGCTACACAGTAGTTTGCCAGAGATCCTGAGACTGATAAGCTCGGCTGCAGTATTTTGTTCCAGGTGTTTACAATCTTACGCATTGGCGTTGCATCCTGGCCCATAGCAGGTCAAAGGTGATCACGTTGTCCAAGCCGTGGGCTGCATGGGGCTTCACTGGCCTTTATTCTGGACTTCTGCGTTGAGTTCCCCCAAGGTTCTGGATCCTGCTAGTTCTGTGAGAAGGCAGGGAGCAGAGAACAGGGTGGCTGCCCCCTTGCAGAGCCATTTCAGCTATAAGTTGATGCACAGATGTTTAAAAACTGAAACAGTGTGGGCAGCTTAAGTAAAAGGAAAGGAAAGCGTGAGCAGGTTCGTGTGATGGAGGGGGGTGGGCAGTCACAGCTGGGGTAGGGGACTCGAGAAATGTGACTCGATGGCAACTTGTATAGAAAGGTGGAGAGCCAACTACAGCAGGACCTTGAAGTTTGCATAAAAACTTTGGATTCCCCAATAAAGAATTAACCCCAGAACCACCCTCTTTAGGCACAAGTGCACATGCATTGCTCATCTCTGAGCTGCCCTTGCATGTAAGAAAACCCTAAAGGAAACTGTGACTTCACTCAAGAGTAGCAGGTGGAGCCAGCGATCTCTTCGCAGGTCCCCCTGCACAGTAACTTCTGTTTGACAGGATTACTAATGGACCCCGGGCCTGAACACCATAAACTCTGCCGGTGACAGAGTGCTTTTGTTCTCAAGGGCATGGTGTGACTGAACCACAGAGCACCTTGGAGAAGTGAGCCTGAAGAAGCCCAACCCTTCCTCGCTTCTCCACTAGAGCAGAGCAGAAACTACTTTCCTCAATTTTTCCTCTGCCTGGAACTAGGAACCTGCCCACATACATCTTAGAGATGTTTTACTGCCTGGCTGGTTGGGGAGAAGCCTTCATGAGAATTTATGGCCTTTGCTAGGTTGTTGAAGCTAACCTCCATGCCACTAAATAACTTACCCAGAAAGTTCTGCAAAGATAGCGGTGCCCCCTGGGTAACTTTTAGAAGATTCTCTTTTCTTCCTTGGGAGAGTTCATCTGCTCAGATCACCCGTTCATCATTTTAGCATGTCAGGGTCCCATCTCCAGCTAGACAAGGCTCTGAAGTGACTAAATGGTTGCGGGTCAGTTTTTGTGATTTATATGCCAGAGATAAACAGCAAGAAAAGTGGGGCGTGGAACACCTAGCTCCCTTGCTCTGACAGTTATCAGTGATAAATTCATTTTTTAAATTACTGGAGAGTATGATACAGAACGCAGTTGATGCGCTCTATGATTCCACACCTGTGTGGTCAGTCAGCCCCCAGTGGGAATTCGGCGAGGTCTGATGGCTGCATCTCTGTGAAACCATGGCCAGCCTTTTATCTTGTTCCCTACATGGAAAAGAACAGCAACTACTTACACTGAATTTACATAGTATTTAGGATGTAAGTAATGTAGAGGCATTTTGAAGTGTATCCAAGATCCTATTACATAGAGACTTGAGTACCTTTAGTGCGTTCAGGAGAAAACATGAGATGAAGGACACCATACTGAGAAAAATAAGAACAGCATTCTTGAGGGGAAAATATGGTATAGAAGACAAAACCAAACACAGGCTGAGAGGATATTTCACATGACTCATTAAATGTTTGTCCAAGGATCATGTGTTACCGAGCTCCCATCGGGCGTTTTCTCCCTGGATGTGGTCACGTTGGGCTCTTACGTTAAGTTCTTTTAAATACCAGTGACTGCAAAATGAGTTTCCAGATCCGGCCAGCTGGCCTTCCCTCTAAGTAGACTCGCTTCCCTGGCAGTGAGGGAGCAGCACCCGCTGCACAAGAACCCCGCTCAGCCCCCTAGTTATTGACTTGATGATGCTTCTCTTGTCTGGTATCAGTATGAAATTACGAATTCCCATTTGTCTCCATGGTTTATAAGTAACTACTTTGCATAAATATTTTAATGTTCAACGTGTCCAGAGTGTGCCATTGGGAACCTCCTTCGGGGGGCGTGGTCTTCTAGCAAGCTCTCATCACGTGTCCTTTTTAACGTTTCCTTTTTTGCATAAGATGTTCTGGACTCATCTTTTTGCTTTCCTACTCTAGCCTGAGCTCCATTTCTCCAACAATTCCAGTACCTCTTAGTGAGTAATGGCAAACAGAATCACAATATTTATCCATTTTCACATTGGGTGGCATTAAATGATTTCCAGTACCAGGCTTTTATAAGAAAGCTCCACTGTCTGAATATGTCTGCATATTTTGGAAAGGCGTTTACTTAACTTATGCTAGAGATAGAACTAGGGATGGCAGTGGATAATTGAGACCTCTCTACTTGGGGTTATATGCACAAGAGAAATAACACCAGAAGCCCACACAGAATGGTTTTATTCATAATCCATGTGTGTTTATATATGTATACTTAGCTTTAGATAGTACCACATGTTCTAAAAGGCTTGCAGCATTGATTTAGGTCTGTCAGGGATCCCACTGGGAGACCAAGATAATCAGTGGCAGAGGTAATGGTGGCTTATTGCTGTCGATGATCAGAAGTGGTAAAATGGCCAAACTCTACGGAGATAAGCATCTCCGTAGAGTTCTGTTTTAAGATATGCAAAAGAAATTCCCAGCGCACACATCTCCCACTATCTTCAGAACGGCTTCGGTCTCAGCCCTGACAATGTGCAGCGCTTCAGGAGTGGAGACCCATTTCTTGGGTACCAGCTCTGCCATGGTGGTTAAGGTCACTGCTTCATTTTTAAAGGCTTCTCTCTGGGGGACGGAGAAATGACCCAAGCACAATTCCTATCTTCTGTCTGCTAGAGAGTCATTGATAATCCCTGGGCAATCAATCACTGACAAGCCAAGAGGATAAATATCTCTTTTTCTCCATCTCGAGAGTCGCTTAATGTCTGAGCCATTGGAGATGGATGGCTACCTGCCACTTAGGGACGCAGGCCAAGCAGAAAACTGCTTTGGGCCAACAAAGTAAGCTAGTTCAGGACTTTAGAATTAGATTCTAGGCTTACTGTGGTAAGAAACAGCTTAAGTTTGGCCAGTCACTGACCAGATGGCTATCAGCTGTTGTACAAAGCTTATAGAGCATGGTTAGAATTGAAGATGCAACAGAAATATTTGGCGATGTGAAATTCTAAATAGAGAAAAAGTGCACAGGACGTACAGTGAATTCTTAGTAACTCGTCAGCCTTTGGAGAAATCAGTAACCACGAAAGCGCATGTCTAGCGATGGTTTTAAGCTTTTATATTCTCCGTGGTGGGAGTCCCGTGCCGTGCAGACAGCATGAGAGCCTTGATGTGTTGCACAGCCACAGTTATGCCACACCCTGAAGAGACCCCAGACTGAGAGTAATAGTGACACCTTCCACCCCATTGCTGTACATGTGTATTAACTATAGTGGTGCTCTTCTCTCCTTCCCTGCCCCCAGGCCTGTCTGCGGAAGGTGGCGCCAAGCGCCAGGAGCACCTGTCTCGGTTTTCTATGCCTGACCTTAGCAAAGACTCTGGCATGAATGTCTCAGAAAAGCTGAGCAACATGGGCACGCTCAACTCCTCCATGCAATTCAGGAGCGCAGAGTCCGTCCGCAGCCTGCTGTCTGCACAACAGTACCAGGAGATGGAGGGGAACCTTCACCAGCTCAGCAACCCCCTGGGGTACAGGGACTTGCAGTCCCATGGAAGGATGCACCAGAGCTTTGATTTTGATGGCAGCATAGCAAGCAGCAAGCTGCCAGGGCAGGAAGGTGTGCGCATCCAGCCCATGAGTGAGCGCACTCGGAGGAGAACTACTTCCAGGGATGACAACCGCCGCTTCCGCCCTCACCGGTCCCGAAGGTCCCGACGCTCGCGCTCAGACAACGCCCTGCACCTAGCCAGCGAGCGAGAGGTCATCGCTCGGTTGAAGGAAAGGCCCCCTCTGAGAGCCAGGGAGGACTACGATCAGTTCATGCGCCAACGGAGCTTCCAGGAGAGCCTGGGGCAGGGGTCCCGGCGGGATCTGTACGGCCAGTGTCCCAGGACTGTGTCAGACCTGGCTTTGCAGAATGCCTTTGGGGAACGATGGGGACCCTACTTCACGGAGTATGATTGGTGCTCCACCTGCTCCTCCTCCTCAGAGTCCGACAATGAGGGTTACTTCCTAGGAGAACCCATCCCCCAGCCAGCCCGCCTACGCTATGTCACAAGCGATGAGCTCCTGCACAAGTACAGCTCTTACGGTGTCCCCAAATCCTCCACCCTAAGTGGCAGAGGACAGTTGCACAGCAGGAAAAGACAGAAGAGCAAAAATTGTATCATTTCCTAATGTGATTGGGGTCGGGGAACAGGGGAAGATGGGAGCTAAGAATGTAAACTCAGAAACGTGCACTGTCGTGAATTCCCAAGTCCTCTTGGGGATGGTTCCTAGCGGAGAGATGGAGAAGGCTCTCAGTTGAGGGAGGCAAGGCTGCGGGTCGACTTGGCAGATACACTTGATGTCACAGTTTTGGGCATGTTAAATATGATTTGTACATTCCACTTTGGAAACACGGGCTGTGGAGGCCAGGGTAGGTCATGTCCTTCCAAGGTGGAGTGGCCATTTACCAGATGACACATTGTAACCTGCTCACTTAACAATATTCTTTCTGGTTCTCTTCCTTTTAGGATCCCTTTTCCAGTAAATACTTTATTAGCCAGGACCCCAAACTAAGTTATTTACATGTCCATTGTAAATGCAATGTAAATGAGAGTTCTGATAAAATATTTTTGTATTTTGTAATAACAGAAGAATTTCTATATGGTAGGATTCAGTGGGGACTTGCATGCATGTCCTCCATTATCTCTGAGTGGTAGTAGACGGTGGCCCAGGACCACCTGGCTTCTGTTTGTTTGTTTCCATTTGGTTTGGTTTTCTTTCTATACAAATCTGTTACATGTCAGTGAGACTCTTTTCAAAGAAGTATATTCAATTTGGCTTTTTTGTGGCTGAAAAAAAGAAAAATTAACTATTCTACCCAAAGCATTTTATGCTCTAGTCCGTCAAAAAGGAGCCATCTTTAAGTCTGTCCCCACCCTGAGTAGAATTTATTCCCTACAAAGTAAGTAGGTTTTTTTTTTAATTTCAATTGCAAATGTCGCTTTTGCTGATTAGAGATAACAACCAGTGTCAGTCCAGTTCTGTGAGAAATGCCATCCCTGTTTGGAATTATTGAAGTTGCTTAATGTCGATCTGTCCCTTGGGGGGAATCAAAGTGACTGTGAGTGGTGCCGACGTGTGCTGTCAGCATGGCGTTGTTTTGAATGTGGAGTTATTGTTTGGTGCTCATGTTTCCTGGATTGTGTTTTCTGCTTTCTACTTCCAAGGCAGCCAGAGCTGCTGCCTTAGCCTGACAGCTGTTTGTCCTCATACAGATGAGCTTCAGCGTCTGCCACTGCAGGGCGGAAGGACGCTGCGGGAGGGCTCTGGGTACTTGGTGTGGCACACATTACCCATGGATAGGGAACAAGGAAATCTGAAAACAAAAAGCAAGTAGATGTGGAAATGGGGAGGTGGGTGACAGAAAACCGGAGAGAAAGACCTTGTAGAGGGAAAGCAGAGCGGTGGCAGCCACCTTGACTAGTCCCCAGTGCTTTAGAGAGAATCCAATTTGACAAGCTTAGTCACCACGAGAGCTAGTTTATTACCCAAGAGGGTCAAGCTGCTGAGACGCTAGGGTAGCAACATGGAAAACAGACCTTGTGGCAGGAGAGATTTCCATTTTGAACTTTGAGGACTGTTGGTCAGACAGAAAGGCTCAAGAGTGAGTTTGCTTAAAGAAGACATTTCACTGCCGGTGAAATAAATATAACGTGAAATAAAACTTCTTGGCTCGCTTCAGTTTAAAAGAAAAAAAAAAACGAAGCACTTGCTCTTGGTCCATTCTCTTCCACTCCTCAGTGGACTGTGGCAGAAATCCACTGGAGGACCCATCCTTCGTGAGATGTGCTGTCCTTGTAATGCACAGTGTGTCTCCGTGGCCATTTGCCGTGATAAGGCGAGCATGGTCCCTTTTCACTATAGTACTTAACATTTTCTAGGGGATTTTTTTTTTAATGGAGAGAATGTGAAAAGTGGCTTGTCAGACGCCATTCTAAATGGGTCTGGGGGAGAGGAGATTGAAAAGGATGCGAGGATGATACTCCAGGATGTATTAAAATGAATTGCTTTTTTAGGTATTAATATGACATTTGTCATTGTCACTGATTTTTTTGAAAAAGCAATGCAAATGTTGGTTGTGGCTGTTTTCCGCATGCTATCTTCATATCTAAATGTTTCATTAATTATCCAAGCCTCTGGAGAATTAACTTTATTACGTTTGTATAGTAAGTTAATAAGCTGCTTGGCAAACTGTTTAAGAGATAATACGCAGCACCATGCCACTGTCGTGGCGGGTTTCTGGTAGACACTGGGTGAGTCCGATTTGGAGCTTTGCATTTGCTGATTGGTGAGAATTAAAAGACATTATTGAGAAACGGGAGGGAAAGGAGATCGCTTAGCAAATGGTTGAAAGCACATATCCTCTCTGGCCCCAAATCCAATGAAAGAAATTCTCCCATTGGAAGTTGTTTTCTCCCTCTGTCCTTGGCAGAGTGCCTCTTCCATTTCCCAGATACAGTTCAAATCACCCTCAGCCCGAAGAAGAAAGCAGCCAAGAAACGACTTAAGTCGCATCAAGATCATTCTGGCCAAAACTTGACATATAATGAGATACAGGCTTCGGGGTCCACCTGTTCACCACCTCCTTCGATTTCTTCCCATCCTAAATGCGGCCAGGCGCATTACAGAGAATTTGAAGAAGGCCAGTTCCTCACAGAGGCCGTGGGTCCTTCAAGTGACTGCCCAGTAATGCGCAGAACATCACTGAACTAGCATTTCTCTACCTTTAAGTCATAACTGAGATATAAACCCCCAGAATCTCATTCTCAAAATTCAATTGCATCCTTTTCTGGGGTGAGAATTTAAGCTCCTCCCTGATTCCCCCTGTGTATCCTTTACCTCTTATTGGCCGAGTTTCCCTGCTGAGTGGAGCCTGTACTCAGTTCCTTTCTATCGTGATTTTATCTTCTCTAGGCCAGTTTCCGGAAGATTCATCTCTCCCCACTTTTCTCTTGTCTTTGATTATTTGGTTGACTTTTTTTTTTCCCATCTCCTATTCTTGGGCTGGCTTTGCTCAGAGGTACAGCTTTACAACTGAGTCCATCTCCTCCCGCTGCCAGACCCAGCACCAGCTAAGCCAGCATTCTTCTCCAGTCTAAGGAATGCATGAATCATTGAAAGCTTGCTGAGAGGTCTTGCTAGCACACCTCACCTTTGATACTGTGAAAAGGTTCCATGCTGACGCAGTAGCATTGAGCGTGGCATTCGGGGACCCTTCCTTCTGTCTTGTGGGGTTGTGGATCTTCTACCGCATGGGAAGGTAAATGAGGGACTTCAGTCCCTGGTGTTTAACGTGCACCGAGGAGAATTGCTGGTGTTGGGTGTTTGAAACCCTGAGTCCACAGTCTGTGGTCCATCCTTTGCTCTCCACGCAGCTGCGTGAGCAGTCTGGATTTTTCTAATAATACGGAAAGTCACAATTTCTTCCTGTAGAACGCTCCCCCTACAGAGCTGTGACAAGATGGCATTTGCTGTTCCTTTTCTGGAAGTTTCCACTTCTTATGACCTCCTAGCCATTTTTGCCTTCAGGTGGGGCCAGCGCTGGCATGGATATAGCACTTAGGCTCTCCCTGCCAGCAAAGCAGATGACAGCCATGGGTTAATGTAGACTTTCCAAGGAAAGTCGGTTCTTGTCCCAGGCATCTTTCCAACTAGTCCAAAGGGGCTGGTTGACTAGAGCAGGTCTTCTCTGTCTTCTAACACATCTCATTCGTGAGCTGATTCTTCCCTGGGTCCCTGGGAGAGAAGCCGTGCGGTAGACATCTAGGAAACATCCATCATCAGGGACCAGGGGACTCGAGTCCCTCTTCCTTCCACACTGTGCAAGCTAAAGGAAGCTGACCCCTTAGGCCAAACGAGGCTCTCTTGGGCCCGCGTTTCCATGCTCAGGGTCTTTGCCAGTTCCGTGGGCAGCTCCTGCTCACTCTGCTGAGGTCAGATAAGAGTCTGGTTCCTCATCTGACCCCACCTTACAGGGACGTAGGACACTTGCATTCCAAAGGGCGGTGTCCTTTGCATACTCCTGACAGAGACCAGACGCTGTGCTTCACAAAGATCCACCTATGGCCAAGGAAAGTGGAAAACCGAACCAGTGGCCTGAATGTCACATGCAGGCAGAGTCGTTATTGTCACCTGGGTGGCATCTTCAGGCTCTGCAGATCAAGTTTCCACAATTTCCTCTACTGATCTTGCAGACAGTGGCAGGTTAGCATCTTTTGAGAGGATTGACATCTCTTTGAGCATAAGGGAAACAGGAATGAAACCTTCACCTTCTCGTCAGCCGTTTGCCCCAGAGTTTGACCATACAGAAGCCGTGAAGGTCAGGCTGGAGGAAGGACTGGTTTCTTTTTCTGTTTTCTCATATTAGGAGTCCAGTCATCACAAGCCCCCTATAGAGCATGACTCACCTTTGGAAGCTTTTGCTATTATAGAAATTCATTTCCTGCTTCCAAAACCAGCCTCCCTTGGAGAATTAAAAGGAGACTGGAAAGGTCACGTGCTATTAGCAGACATTTCTATGGTTCAAATGTGGTGAGCTCACAAGATAGATGTCTAGTTCTATCTTGAGCATTTCCTAAGAAAAACTTGATGGTCTAGGCATTTGACCATGCATGTTCAATAGGTCGCCAATCAAACATCTCTGAATTTCGGGAGGTCACTTGCCAGTAAGACCTCCTCTTGAGTCTGTCTAGCAGAATTCCATTGTTTTCAATAAAGTATTCTGGTTTAGTCCTGACCCTGAGTTAACAACCTAAGACCTATGACTCCTCCGTATTCTTCAGCAAACTAGGCCAGCATTTATTCTCTCAGACTCGTTCCTTCCTGCACAGAGTTGCTTTGCCCAGATCCTATTTAATTCCACAAGCATAAACCAAACCTCAGAGGGCCCAAGAAGGTAAAGCAGGCTGGAGTTTGTGTTATCTGTAAGTGTCAAGCTGTTTGTTAGGAAGGCCTGTCAGGGGCCTTTGGTGTGGGCTCTGCCAGAGACTGTTCTGAACACTTTGCTTGAGATCCGTGCCCTGTAAAGTGGATATGATGTTTTACTGATTCTGTAATACATTTGTAAACTTCCAATAAAATTTGAATAAAAGAAATGTTGTCGTTCTTCTCAATCTTCACTCGCCTCCCAGATTTTGAGCGTGGCCTTGGCCTTTGGGAATCCTAAGGAAGATAAAAAGCATTTGAGTCTGAGAATGATATTTACGGCAGGCCTTCGAGCTGTATTTAAAAATGATCTTTAGAGCAGACCTTGAGTGTAATTTAACATCCGACAAAATAACAATAACAGGTTCTACCCCAGGGCCTAGGACTTCCTGAGTCATTGACTTCTGACCAGGATTGCAGTAGCAGGCATAAAATTGTTTCCAATGGGATTCGGATCCAATCAGAAATTAGTTAGTTACTCCATAAGAAGCAGGCCACTCTTGCATCAGTAGGCAAATCTTGCCGACAGGTTGGTATCGCAGCATGTGGGTAAGCATGCTGGTCCAGCCCTGGGCAAGACCATTGGTGTCTTTTTCCTCCCTAGCACTTGCAGGCACTGTGACAGCTAGCCAGCAGGGAGGGCATTTCCTGGTTGGTTTGAGGTTAACGTCTCTATGTCCTTCACCCAAATTATGTTGTGTCTTCAGAAATAGGGTCTTATGTAGTTATTGTGGGTAACCAAGGGCAAGGGGAATAGCCCGGCTTGTTTTGGAATCCTCTCAAACATTATTTAAATTGTATTTTGCAGTTAGCTTTCTAGCTAGTTTCCATGTGACTTTTCATAGATCCTCACTTTTTTATTAGCCTGCCCAGTACCTCCTCTTCCATCTACCCCTCTTCTTTCTTTTCCCATGTGTTCTATCCCCCCTCCCTTACACGTTTTAAGTTGGAGTATGAGATAGTAGACTTCTATATGGCTTTTCATACCCAGTTCTTTGGATCATCCCTCCCCATCACCCATGTTCCCCAGTCCCCCATGCCCTGCTTAAGCCTTCTCACCATCCACGTTCTGCCTTCACTTTACCTAAAACTTCCTACCGCTTTCCCTTAATGTGCTCCTCAAAAGGCTCCTTTCTTGTTTCCTGGATTTCACTTGTGTTTCAAGTTAAACACCAAATAAAAGATTTGAAGCCAGGATCTGTATGAGAAAAGACAGGATGTTTATCTTTCTGGGCCTGCGTTACGTCACTCAGGATACTTTTTCCAGTTCCATCTATTTACCTGCAAATTTCATGATTCCATTTTTCTTTAGCTGCGTAGTATTCCACTGTGCTTATGGACCACATTTTTCTTATCCATCTCTGATGTACACCTAAATTAATTCCATTTTCTGACAATTATAAATAGAGCAACAATGAACATGGATGTGTGAGTGTCTCTCAGTAGTATATAAAGTTGTTGGGTAGATGCCCTGAGGTGGCATAGTTGGTATAGGTCATATGGCAAGTATATTTCTAATTTTTGGAGAAAGCTCCAGGCCGATACCCAGAGTAGCTACACTTCTCTACACTCCCCTCCCACCAACAGTGCACAGGAGTTCCCACTGGTCACACCCACCCCAGCATGTGTTACAGTGCACAGGAGTTCCCACTGGTCACACCCACCCCAGCATGTGTTACAGAGCACAGGAGTTCCCTGTGCACACCCACTTCAGCATTGTTACAGTGCCCAGGAGTTCCCACTGGTCACACCCACCCCATCATATGTTATAGTGCACAGGAGTTCCCACTGTCCACACCCACCCCAGTGTGCATTGTCCCTTGTATCCCTGATGATGGCTATTCTGCCTGGGATGAGATGGACTCTTAAAGTAGTTTTATTTTCTGTCTCCCTGATGGCTAAGGATGCCGAGCACTTTTCAAAATGTTTTATAGCCATTTTCATTTCTTATTTTGAAAATTTTGTTCCGTTCTTAAGCCCATTTTTATTGGGATTCTTATTTCTTAATATTTTGTTCTTATTATTGACACTAATTGCAGTGACCATCTAACAAAGATTCCCTCCCATTGTGTCAGCTGCCTTTTCACAGTTTTCTTGGCTGTGCAGCAGCTTTTTAATTTCATGAGGTCCCATTGTTGATTGGTGGCCTTATTTCCTGTGCTCTTGGAGTCTTATTTGGGAAGTCCTGGCCTGTGCCTATAAGATGAAGCCGCCTGCTTTCAGCTCTAGCACTTTCAGGGTCTGATTTTTGGAGGACCCTGATTTATATAGAGTTGAGATTTTTTGCATGGTAAGAGATAAGGATCTAACTTCATTTCCTACATTTTAAAATCCAGTTTCTCCAGCACAATATTTTCCCAGTATAAATTTTGTATGTCTTCCTCCAAAATCAGACAACTGTAGTTGTATTGGTTTATAACTAGGTCCTCAACTCTCTTCCATTAACCATGTTTCTGTACTGTGCCATGCTGTTTTTGTTACTATGACCCTGTAGTATAATCTGAAATCAGTTATGGTGACACCACCCACAATGTTCTTTTTCTTTAGAACTTTTTCTTTGCTTTTGGTGATTCCATCTAAATTCTTGGAGTGTTTTTCCCATGTCTGTAAAAACTGGCTCTGGAATTTTGATTGAATCTGTAGCTTACTTTAGAAAGGATGGCCATATTCACAATATTAATTCTTTATATCCATGAACATGGGAGGTTTTTCCATCTTCTAGTCTCTTCCTCAATTTCTTTCTTCATTAAAATTTTCATTGTATAAGTCTTACTTTTTCTCATTAAGTTTATCCCTAGTGAGGTGAATGGAGGAGGGACTTTTGTGTTTGATAGGACAGTTGTTTGTTTTTCCTTATTTTGTGTATTTGCACACACACACACACACACACGTGTGTGTGTGTAAGAGAGAGAGAGAGAGAGAGAGAGAGATAGAGAGAGAGAGAGAGAGAGACTATTGTAAATGATATTGTTTCCCTGCTTTCTTTTTTAGCCTGTTATTGGTATGTAGGAAGTTTAACTAGATAACAGTGTTTTCCAATTTAAAGGAGTAACAGTGCCTTAGGCTCCATAATGAAGCCATGGGCATTTCAAGTACTATCAACTGCACATGCAGAAAGCAAAAATCAAGAGTTCATGGCCCTGAATTATAATCAGATGATTTATAATATAATGAAAGAACCATCATTAAAGAAGTGGAGATTTAAGAATAATCAAATCCATATGGATTGGGAAAATGTTACTGAGAAATAAGTATATATTAGCAAATGGAATAAATTACCATATTTTAACATGCTTCCTTCATGGACCTAGTGCTAATTACAGTGTCATTGTTTATTGGAAAATGTGCCTAAGCAAGCAAGGACAAAATCAGGGCACACTTAGTGGGTAATAGGACTCTGTACTGAATTGGAAATAAGTTGCATGCTACACACAGTTTAATAAAGCTCCAATGGCAGAAAGCACAGAGTCAGGGAATAATAGTGATATTTTCCACCCAATACCAAAAAGATACTTGAAATAGCAAATGTTATTCTGGAAAATGCTGCCATCCAAAGTTCTGGAGACAGGAAGGCTGTCCATTTTTCCTGGAGATAGTAAGGCTGTCCATTTGTCCTGACATCTAGACTCTTTTCTCTCTCTTATCAAGTGGAAAACAGATCTTTTTAACTGAAAATAAACACCATGAGATTGACAGGGGTAGGGAACAAAGGAATATGATTATACACCAAGGTCAATAGTCAATAGTAAATTTCCCTGGTGCAGAAAGAAAAGGAACTATTGTCCTTTTGTTTTAAAATTATTTCCAGATAAAGGCTCAGAATCTGAATAGGTCTGCTTATTTGTAAGTCCTGCCTATCAACTTTTCTAGGTTGTCTCTCAGGTCTCGTGAGATGAGGATTTGAAATTTTCTGTATACTGAATATGTTTTTGCTCACCAAATACCCATGTGTCCCAACTCCGATACCTGCCCCCTGGCAGTCCGGCAGGGTTGTGTGATGGAAAAGTAAGGCGGTGGTCAGCCTCCGTGTTTGTCACTCACCTCCAGCCATGCTGAACTAACCGTCCATGCTGAGATGTTTGATCATCACATAGAAGCGGATGTACCCCTGAGTCACTGCTTCCACATAAAAAGAATTGCTCTAAAAAGAAAATAATCCTTCCTCATGTTAGCTGAAAAGATTCAGGAGGAAACTTTGTGCTACAGGGTAATCCAGCCTGCTGGGAGTAATAGGTGGAGATCAGTACCCAGTGACCCTCCAGGTCTCTTTCAAATCTAGAAGTTACAGTCAGGAACATCACGGGATGGTGCGAAGTTCTGAAGGCAGATGGGCTTAGCACTTTGGATACATGTTTTTTGTGCGGTTGGTTGTTTAGTTGCTCTGATTTGGTTAAAAGTTACCCTCTAATCAGAGCCTGCAGTTATGCCGTAGGCCCAGCGAAAACACACCTATGGACTAGCAGCACCAGGAGGTTCTCACCATTGTTTCACAAGTAAGTGCTTAATAAATACTCCATGAATCCAAGGTGTAAAAGAACTAACTAGCCAGTTGAGGTGCGAAGATTATAGCCATTGCGTTGAGTCCTTAAGTCTGGAAAGAGAAAGGAAGACCTCCCCCTCCACGGAACGGCAGAGGCTGTGGAGGAGAATCCCGGTGCTGAGCTCATTAGGCGGTATACTCGCTGCTAAGATAATCACCGAGTCCCTACTGTGGACGTTAGTCCAAGGCCACGGATAGGGCAAAACAGCAAGTCAGATGAATTTCCACTCTCACTGGGGGGTCTGCTCTGTTTATGTCTTTTCTTTTTCCAAATCTGGAATTTGTTTTATGACAATAAAAATACTCACAGTTATTTGATTATTTGAGCTATCTGATATAAAAATACTAAATCATGGAAGAAGAGCAAATCACGTCTGTCTGGAGCCAGGACCCCTAACCTGCCTGCCTTGCTTTCCCGTTGTGTGGATCTCCTAGGAAACCCTATCTTCCCTAGGTGTCCTTTGAATTGAGTCCATGGCTCCTATTCCCCAGCCTTACTTACCCTAAGAACCTCCAACCTGGTGCTAAGGAAGGGTGCTTCCTTCTACAGTTGCTTAGGTCCATTGTTGTTTCTGTAGCCCCGCCCCTAGCCAGGAGTTCAGAAGAATGAGTGTTTTCAA